CCAGAGAGTTTCTTCAGCAGAATTAAAACAGTATTTTTGTAAACTCTAATTCCGTAAACTCCAAAGTCTGTCGTTTTATAGAGTGCAAATCGGATTTCCATTTTTCCCAGACACCAAGGCATCACGACAAACCCAAAGTTCTACACGACCATGAGATCAGACAGATGAACCAAGTTTCTAAAAGAAGCTGTTTCGGGTATTTTGAAATGTTGACCTAATGTTTTGGTCATCGGTTTTTTGAGCTTACTATGATGGGGTAATAATGAGCTGGGATAAATCCTCATGAAGTTTCTTCATTATTCGGTAGAATTTTCACACACTTTCACAATGTGCTTACATCTTATTCACCCTGCAGCTCTGGATGCGTCCGCTCACGAGTATTCCAAATAGTTGGGCTATTGCTTTGTTTAACACTAAACAAGGCGGAGGGCCTATACATCTTCCAATTACGCTCAAGGAAATGGGAATTCCCAGTTCGAATCCGGACACGGACCTCTTCGAGTTGATTGACGTATTCACTGAGGATGATTTCGGTGTGCTGCTCCAAACGGAAAGTGTTATTATGCGCATTAATCCGACGGGCATTGTGATGTATCTTGTCAAGTTACGAGCTGGGTGAAGTCCACAGGGGAACGTGGGCTCTGTCCGTAAACACGGGGCGAACTGCATTGTACCAATATCTTCAGCCCAATTCAGCACGCACGCGTGCATACACACTCACATGCCAACTTCCATTAACCGGTGTCTTTAAATTAGCCAAGCAGCATTCCTCCCAATATCTCTGCCCAACCATACCATCTCCTAAGTCATTCGAGTGAATCAACGTTTGTTTTGATAGATATAATTTCTATTGAGCTGATTTTCAAATGCATTCCTTATTAGAAATTTTCATTCTCTGTGTAACAATTGTACACAAAGAAAAACAATGACTGATCGAGAAAGAATAATTAAATTTCCGTACAACAAAATATTTTAGTAAATCAGTGGACATCCAGCTTTTATTCTCAGGAAAATCATCGGGAGCGGGTCAACCCAGAGTAACTAGTTACAACCACCGAACTATCGCAAATATCGTTTTCCTCAAACATCAAACGTTGTGTCATGCATCGTGTGATGGGGATCTGGGTTTCGTCGTTCAAGAAGACCCAAATCTGCCCTGAAGTGTTCTCCGTAGTTCTGAGTTTACGCAAGCCTGGAATCCATGACTGAAACGTGATTTCACGGTTTTGGGACGTCCAAAATAAAGACAATTAAGATGACTGCCTTCAAGTACCAATTGCGGACAGATTGCGATTTTGTGGTTTATAGTTCACCAAATACAGACGCATTGGAGGAGATTTGACGTGTAAAATATTGCAAAACTTCAACAATCTAAACCATCGACTACTTACGTTGTCGCCAAATACCCATCACAAGGGACACACTTAAATTACAGTTCCAAATATTCGAATTTGATTCAGTTACTTGTGAGTAGTGTGTGTGGGATAATTGATGTAGATTGATTTGACTGACTACCTGTCGGACATCACCTTCGTGCACAATCCTCAGTTCATCGATACCATACACTCAGAAGCACTAGACTCGAAATTCACTCTTATAAGAGCTCATCAGTACTGCATATCCACCGTCCCTTCCGGGATTTGAACTTCGGATTCATCGCATGTAAGACGTGTTACCACGGAGCCAAACAACTCATGCCATGATTGAACCAAATTACCAAATTATGTTTGTTCAGGTGTTGTTTTCAGTGAAAGTCAGTCAGTTCATTTGGCCCGACAGCAACGAAGGGAGACACAGATGACAACCTGTTAACTCCAATGAAAAGCCTCCCACCAAGTCAGGACTTCTATGCAGGATACGAGCTGACTTGCCGCATACCCACCAGGCTTGATTGATCTTCGAATTTGACTCACAGTTACTTGAGAGTAGTGGTCCAAATATGTTGACGCACATGCTATTCTCACTCCTTGGTAATCAGGATATTAATCCTTTGAAATTCCCTACCGAGTGGCATCATCTTAGCCCCTACCGGTGGTGATTCTTTCATTCAGCATAACACTTAGATATCCATAAGTACAAAGATAACATTAAATTTGTGTTGTTTGTCATACACACGACTAGGTTCAGTATTTCTAATCCTTCCTTCCTCCTGCGAAATATCATAACAGGTAAGAAAAACAACAGATTTTAAGCATTTTCCATCATAAAACTCTGACTGTGTTCGGCATGTTCTTCAAAATGCCATCAATACCACGGGAAGGGATTAAGATCAAGTTGGATTTAAACTGATTTGCAAATTTTCCGAGTATAGTCGTTTATGCGAAATCATGGAATACGTTTTGCCTACCTTGTTGTGTTACAAACCAAATACCTTTGTCGTTCATTGATGGTTTCAAACCAGTTCTTGAGTTCAGGCTCATTAAATAAGTAATACCACGATTGATTGAGATGGTTATATTTGTATGTTCTACTCCAAAAGACATATTCCGAGGTTCATCGCATAGCCTAACCACCTCTCAGAATTTTATTATTCTCCTCGATCGATGGTGAAAGCACACTATTAACCGAAAGGCTATTCCTTTTGAAAGAACAAGCAAGGGAATACAACAGGACAGTTGTTTATGACACCAACTAATAACAAAGCATTTTGGTACTATGTGTTTATGAGTCTTGTTCGTGTTGTTGAATGAACACGGAAAGAATGATTTTGTGATGAAGTTCGTTTGGCTCCTACACGAAAGAACGACTCACAGGAGTGACAGAAGCGATTTTTGCATCTCAGAATTCATTGTCATTTATCTTTTTGGATGCTTCAGTCCCCTAGTCTGATTCTGATTTTCTACATTCAGAATACCAAATGATTGATCGAGAAAGGTTAAATACTATCAATAAACCTTTCTTGCAAATGAGACATTCGTAGCAAAATATAGTGTCGTGGATTACCATGGAGAAACAGCAAAATGGATTCTTGTTCAGGTCATTTCAAAGCAGTCAAAACGAATTCCAGAACAATTCTTATTGCTGCAGAGCACGAATGCTCTGCTTGCATTTTAAACGAAAAGCTTATGCATCAATTCTATGGTTTGACTATGGGAACCAATTTGGAATCAAAAGTAGAGAATTTACTGCGGGGACATTAAAATCTCCAGGATCAGAATATATTTCAATTATTTATGTTATTCAAATGATATTTTGGTAATGTTTTCATTACCATCGGCGTTTCAACAATTATCGAGTTCGTTTAACACGATGTAACTCAAAGATCTCATTATAAAATGTTATTCAACGTGAAGACAGAACCAGATGACAGCCCAAGATTTCATAAACTGGTCTATTGTGAGACAACTTGACAAATTAAGGTAAACATTTTGGAAACATTTTATCATTTGCGTAGTACTGCTTCGTTCTGCCATAAGGATTTGATTTAATGAAACACTCGGAAATGAAATGTAGCTAATCTAGACGTGTTGCTTGACGTAACACTCCCGCAGATTGTGAGTTCCCTGATGCTGGATGTGATGTTCGGTGGTATACACAAATAGCACGTGGGTTATTTAAAAGAAATGGATTAGTATAAATTAAGGGAGGAAAACTTTACTGGGACATTGTTCTATAAAATGGATGACTGATGATACAATTACTAATAGCAATCTTTTGATTTCTGGCTGCATTTAAGCGGGCGGAAGAGAAGAACTTGGCTAACTCTGTTATTCTCACACCGAGCCCTGTAAGCCTAATTAATAATGACATGAACCACTCAACGTTTGCTGTCATCATCGAACTAATCGGCGGAAACTGAAAGAAGATAATCTAATGGAAAGCAGAATATCACTGAAATACAGAAACACATCAGTAAACAGTGACACCTACAAAACTAGGGCGTTATTGATAATCGTCACTTGATCAAGTGGTTGGAAAATGACTTTTGCACTTCAGGGTTTCAGGTCTGTTTCGCATGCCCCTACGAACCTAATCATATCAGATGTGATGGTTAATTACTTCAAACCTCAAGATAAACTCCGTCCATGGCCCGTGGAGTAATAGGATAACTCTTGCCTACACCGTTCCAAGTACCATGGTTGTTTTCACACAGAAAACGATTAGTTTCGAGTTCGTTGTCCTCTTCAGGAATGAGCACTTGGTAATCTCGTCTAGCCATGTGCCTGAACATGGGATGTATATTTCCATCAAACCTTTCTAATATACTGCACGAGGATTAGTTCTGGCAGTCACACTGTTCCTAATCAGCGGTCTATATGTTATCAATTATGCTGTTGCCTATTTACTCATCACACCCAATTTGTTTTACCTTATCAGGCTGTCCTGGCTTCCCAATCCATCCAATCAACAAAATCGTACAGATTCTCATGCATGAAAATTCTGTATTTTTTTCACCACCTGACAGGATCACTTACCTTGCTGATACGTTTTGTTTACTGTTCCACCAAGATAATTTTGTCATCTGTGAAACCAAATCTTGTCTATGACTGCTATAGGTCTTGTATTTTTCTGCTCTGCACATTTGCTTCTTGCTACGCGTAGGTGATTCCGTCCAATTTGAATAAAAGTTGAATCACTGAATGAATCCACACCCAATGTGGTGAATTTGGTACAATGGGTAATCGTGCGACCATTTGGTCTTTTCCTTCGCAGATGCATGTCTAGTCCGTGAACAACCATAGATGCGCCGTGAGGTAATAATGCAATGGAAACTGCCCTGTTCTCTACCAGCGTAGATTCACCTAGTTCATGTGGAGATCCAAGCCTATGAGATCACTCCAGCCGAAAGACTACACTTTACGGCTTTTGGACGTTGAACCAAATGGCACTAGTACAAACCAACCAGAAGCCGAATGGCTCCAACAGACCTATGTGCCGAAGAGTATGCAAGCAGGTGATGGATATATTTAAACAGCGCTGTTTCTTTGTACGTATTCTTTACTCACGTCAATATACAAACCGTTGGTTCGCAGGCCTTCTTATGTAAGGATCACGTGAGATTCCGGCCTGAGATGCCTGGTGCGATTCTGTGTTTAAAATACAATTACGATGCGTGATTTGAGATTCGTGTCGACGATTATTACACTTGACGCACATAGTACAATAAAGAATATTTGACAGGCAAAAAGTCACCGGGTCTTTAAAAAAGGGCACTGATCTTTGAACAATTACAATGCGTGAGGCAGCAGTGTTCATATATTCACCTTGATTCCCTTTTAAAAATCCGCGAACTGGATCCCTGCTTGATGGGGTACATCCTCAGACTACTGAATCGTTCGAATCAGACTGCTTCACGATTTGAGCTATCGCTGGCACACAAGTCCGAAGACGAACAATTGTTTTCGAATGATTCATTATCGTGCCCGCACGGATCGTATAAGAGCTTGTTCTTAGTGGGGACACATGTTCACGCTAGGTGGAAAGATCTTTCAGGACGCGGAGAGGGAGGTATGGGGTGAGCGCCATATGTCTGTGTTCGGGGCAGATCGATTGTGATTGGTGTGGAGATGCTGATGATGTTGGTGATCAGTTTAGGGGTGGGGAAGGGTTGGTGAAGAGTTTCAATCAAAATAATGAAATAAATAAAAGCCTCTTTACTTCCTTTTTATTTACTGAATA